AAGAAAGACACATGATCAAGGGTTAGAGACATAGGTAAAGAAGAGCAATTGATAGGATTTGGTTTAACAGTGAATGCATGAAGAACAGTCATAAAGAAGGTTTATTTGGAAACTATATTATCATTCTGAAGAGTTTAGATTTAATTTGATAGCCAGTTATCATTGGAAAGCTTTAGAGCCTGTGACTCAGGAAGATGAATTTTGTGTAAGTCTTCAGAATAGAAGTATAAAGATTGTTTTTTGATAAGCAGCTAATAGAAGGAAAGAGATTATGAAGGCCTGGCAGGGAGAAAAGTGATATTTTAGAGGAAACTCAATAGGCACAAGAGTTGGGTAGAATTTCAAGTAATAAAAAATGACTGGAATATTTCAAGAAGAGATAACAAGTAAGCTGTCTGTGTTGCCAACCCAAATAGGTTGTATAGGAAAAAAAAATTAAAAATAAAAACTTGGTTTACATTTCCAGCAGTACTGAGTTCCAAGTAATAATGTCTAACAAAGTGTTGAAGAATTAAACCTTGAGTTTGGGGCAGAACCATACATTTTCTTTTAGTGCAAGCCCCATTAATAAGTCCATAGCAAATTATCATTGGGTCAAAGAAAGGTGACTGAGAACAAAATGTTAGAAATCATTCAGTGTGGAAATTTGTAGAAGAAAGAAATAGTCAAAAAGAACAACATAGCATAGCTTAAGTGAATTATTAATGACATACTTAAAATAGTGGAGATAATAGGAAATAATATCTTGCAAATTCAAATGTTGTGTTTGACATTAGGGAGGTATAATCAATCAGTACTTTTCTAGAAACAAATTGGCAGTTAAGTGAAATTTTGTATCATCTCTTATGCTTTTTTTTTTTTCCATCACTATTTTTTATTCTTTAAAAAATAAAAACAGAAACCAGTGATCATAACATTGGCTTCATGGCTAATTACTTTTATTTTTAGCAATGAGACTCTCTTTTAATTTTGTCCATGTTAAGTATTAAGCATGTGAAAAAGGTTTCTATGTAGGCAAAGACAAATGTAAATACTTCAGATTCAGAAATGTCAGAAAGAATGTCAAAATTGAAGCTCCAGTTTTGTAAAACATGTGAGGGCTGAAGAGTTGGAGGTGCTCTGTATCTTTCACAAGTATACTTTGTGCTTTGTACTCCACAGGAAAAATTGTCCTTTGATTTGTTGTTAAAGATGTTGTCTGCCTCACCTAATGCCACTGATGATACAATACCTTGAATTAATGATGAGTGTACAGAAAACAAGTCCAGTCCTGAACACATTCCCGTCCTTCACTATCTTGACTTTCCTCCTTCACACCTATAACAGCCTCCTCAGTACAAGGCCAAGAGTGCAGATTTTAGTCCTTAGAGATCTATCCATAGCACAAATTACCACAAAGAAACCATTTAAAATATTACAAAACAGTGGAAGAAACAACTGTTTCAATCAATGTCATCAGTCTTAAAAACATGTGAAAATTGTTTTAGAAGGCATGCTCTATCATAATATGTTAAAATTATAAGATTTTTCAGAGGATGAGGTAAAGTGAGCTCAAAACAGATATGTGACAGATTGTTCATGCATTATAACTTGAGATTTATATAAAAGAAAAATTAAAATATCAAGTATTAAATGTCTTAGAAAGATAATTTAGTTAATGTATGATCTTACTATATCTACTTTTATTTTACAAGGCTATGAAATGTAGTCTAGAAATGTATAAATTTAAATGTGAACATGAGGGCTTTATTTGATGCTGAGTTGGGAGAGAGGGGCTAGGCTGCATAGGATAGTATTCACTTATAGACTGCCATTCATTCTGTGCTGATAATGAAAGCTATTTTACCTGCTAAAAATATAAGGAAAAAATATAGCACTTTATAACATTAACAGTAAGTCTGTAAAAATACCATATTCTGCCTCTTCTATGTGCTTTAAAAAGTCAGTCCTTGTGTCTGTGTGTGTACGTGTGTTACTGAGAACTGAATGCAGGACCTTTGCACTCTGAGCTACATCCCTAGCCTGCCTGTCTGCCTGCCTGTCTGCCTGCCTGTCTGCCTGCCTGCCTGCCTGTCTGCCTGCCTGCCTGCCTGCCTGCCTGTCTGTGTCTGTCTGTCTGTCTTTCTTTCTTTCTGTGTCTATCTGTCTTTCTTTCTTTCTGTGTCTGACTGTCTGTCTGTCTTTCTTTCTCTCTATCTCTCTCCATCTCTCTCTCTCTGTCTGTCTCTGTCTCTGTCTGTCT